GTGCTAATGCTATGGGACGGAAAACTGTGCCCGCCTGTGGTCAAAGCAGGTATTGCGGCCGCAGAAAGAAATAAACCTTTTGAATGGGATTTCAAGGTTATTATTCTCTATCTTTATTATTAACGCCTTATTAATATTAATAGGGCTACAGGAGGCCCTTTTGCTGCGACACAGGCTAAGAAGAAGATGGCCTAATATTAATAAGGTTTTATTAATAAAGAATAATAATCTTCAAATGCCACTTAAAAGGTATATTTCTTTTGGTGGCTGCTGTACCGGCTTGGAACACAGGAGGGCACTGTTTTCTGTCCCTTGGCGATAGATGGCACGGCCATGGAAAAGGTCTATGTCCTATGATGATGAATTAAGGTTACTTTGATGGGTGCTAAATTTAAAAATATACTTCACCAAACATACATAAATGTATTGCTATAGTTAATATTAAAGTAAGTTAGTGAGGTTAGATTTTTACCTTCATTGTTAGTTTTGAAATTGACACATTTATTAAAATGTTTTATGTCTACCTACGTCAGCTATTTCTTCCATCTTCAAGGCACTGTTACAATGTACAATGTCCTGCTCTGTTCCTCCTGGCACCTGCATGGAGACCTTGCAAATAAGCCCAGCATTACTGAAATTTATATCCAACCTCATGATAGTAAACAACCGATACCATCTTTTTTACCTTAAAATTTTTTAGAATAGAATAACAAGTTTATTGTCACTTTGAATGTACGCTAATCGGCATACATTAAAATCATCAGAGACTGAGAAGAGGCAGTGGGTGAGTGAGCTGTGAGGAAAAGCAACAGCGGCAACAAAGTCAAAGAAGGGAAACAAAAGACAGACTACCACTAAACGACAAAGAGTGGCAAAGTGTAGTCTGTCTTTTGTTTCCCTTTGACGATTCATGTCTACCTATGTCACCTATTTCTTCCATCTTCAAGGTACTCTTACAAAAGTAAAATCAAAAAGGTAAAACATGTTAGGACATCGGTATGCTTAATGTCAAAAGTAAATGTTGGAATTGATGATTCAGCCTTATTGGAAACGGTTTTACTGTCCTCCTAATTAGCGGGGAGGGAGGTCAAAGAGCAACCCTCCGGAGACTGCCTTCCGCAGCCTTGAGAAGGCCCCTCTGGCGGTACCGATGCGGCATCGCAAAACTGAAGCGTCTTCTGAAGTTCCTGTCCTGCTGGGCGCGTTCCTGGTGCGGTTGGCGCCGAGCCGTTGAAGGCGTTAAAAGGCGATACCCATCCTTCGGCTCCGGAAGAAGCTGCAGCTGCCAAAAAAGCCGACGCGGGCAGGGCCAGCTGGCTATCGGGGCAAGCGCAGCAGTCGCCGCTGGCTGCCGCACGATGGGTGTGTGATCGGGAGCGTAGATAAAAATCCCGCGACTCGGGCGGTGAGGCCGCCTCGATCGGGAGCCCGGTTCGCCGCGGTGGAAGGGCGGCCGAAGTCGCCACGTGGGTGCCTCCACCCGGGCGGGCCGTGGGGCTTTGCCCCGCCGCTTCCACGCTCGCCACCCGAACAACGCGGAGAACCAGCGCTCCGAGCCGCGGCCCCTTCGATCGCGGCCTCCCCGGGGGCCGGCGCCCGCCGTGTCGCTAGGAAACGGAGCGGCGCCATGGCAACGGCCGCGTCGTTTTCCGGGGGCGGGGCTTTTCCGTTGGGGCAGCGGGGCGCGCGGTCCTCTGCTCCGTGGCGCCCGCCCGGCCCCTCCCCAGCGGGCCATGGCCGGGCCCGCCCTGCGCATCGGCGACCAGCTCATCCTGGAGGAGGACTACGACGAGAGCTACATCCCCAGCGAGCGAGGTGCGCTGGCGGGCGGACGGGCGGGCTCTTCCGGCCAGCCGGGGCCCGGTGGGGTCGCTTCACCGGGCGCTTCTCTTCCGCAGAGATCCAGGAGTTCGCGCGCGTGGTGGGTATCGATCCCGAGCACGAGCCGGAGCTGATGTGGCTGGCCCGGGAGGGCATCGTAGCCCCGTTGCCCGCCGAGTGGAAACCGTGGTAAGCTGTGCCGCCGTTCCCGCGCAGGGACTGCGGCCGGGGCGGCTCTCCCGCTCCTCCTCCCGGGCGCGGTTCTGGCCGGTTCCAAAGGTCCAGGGCGGAGGTGATGCTGCCGCTCAGCCGGGCTGGAGGCTCAGGAGGGAGGCGAGGCCGGGTGGATGGAGGCGCTCCGGAGAGCCGGTGCTGACCGCCGTGTCAGCCGGTCCCAGGAAGCGCCGCAACGGCCCAGCCCCCCCCCCCCGGGCCCCCAAAAGCCTTCCTGCTTGGATAACAAATTCGACTGGACCGCCGGCTTCGGGTGCGGTGGCGACGCTCGCGGTTTCCACCAAGTCCCGTGGATTGCATAGTTTCCTGAAGCAAAAGAAAGCCCGCTGCGTTCCTCTAGTTGGGAGGCCATGTGATGCCCCCTGGTTCCCCCAGAAAGGATGAAGTCGGACAGGAGTCTGAGCACCACAGTCACAAACGCGCACACCCCCCCCCCATGATAAGTCCTGGTGTGCTCTTTTTCTCTGTCCTTTGGGGCCTTCAGTTCCTCCTGGGAAGGGTCTCCCTGAGCAGTTGCTCCTTGCGCTCTCTCTCTCTCTGTCTGTCTGCAGCCAAGATATCACTGGTGATATCTATTACTTCAATTTTGCCAATGGCCAGTCGACCTGGGACCATCCGTGTGATGAGCGCTACCGCCAACTTGTGATCCAGGAAAGGGAAAAAATTCTGGAACATGGTGGTCTTAAAAAGAAAGAGAAAAAGAAAAAAAGGGCAGAAAAGAAAAAGGACAAGAAAGAAAGAGACTTGTCAAAGAATCTTGTGGTGAGTACTTGAACAAGCATTAGCTTTTCACTATCAGAATAGGGAAACAGATAAAATCTTCCTGGTTTCTCCTTTTGTTCTTGTTCTTCATCCCTCCCTCCAAAGACCTGTCCCCCCATGGGATAAAGGACCTGAGCTTTAAATATACCTGACTAGTGACTTTTCCACTTTCAGTTTTGTTTAACCCTTTCCTGACACTGCTGGGAAAGGTTTCTTTAAAAAAAAATCTAAGAAATAACTGGAGATAATGATGTATTTTGTACCGCTTTTCAAACCATTCCAGAAACGTAGAGGCCAGTTTTAGCCTTGGCACTTGCTCTTTTTTCATGGGTGTTTCTTCCAGTCTCTGGTGCTGAAGATTTGGCAGGGTTTGAATAAATTAACTGCCTTGAATTTTTCCCCCATAAAATCTATTGCAACCGTGTATGTTATTCAAACATCTGATTGATATCCAAGCTGATATCAAAAGTCTGGCAACCATCATGATGGGTTCCTCTGGCAAGCAAGAGCAAGAAATGCAGACTTATTTTTCCTTGCAAGGCTCATATAGAAGAAAAGTTAGCCTGTTTACAAAATCACTAACCTGATGGTTTTTGCCTACTTAGGAGATGCAATCAGAGCCAGGGATTCTTCCGTCAACGTCCTTTTATCGAGTATCATCTCCTATCCTGTATTCAGAGCATGCTAGTCCTGACCTAGAGCAACAGGGCAGCCTGGTGACACAGAATGACTCCTTCCTGAAAAACCCCAAGGGAAAGATTTCAGATACAGGTGATTTGTCCAGGCTGCTATCAAGCCCTGTCCTAGGGAAACTACAACCTCTTCTGCCAGAAAAATCAAACCGGACTCAACAGATCCTTGCAGATGTGGAGAAAATTCTTGGAAAAAATGCATCCTCCAGCAGGTCAGACGTTAATCATCAAGCACACAAAGATGCGAATACAGAAACCAGATGTGCAGCTGCTGATGGTATTTTATCAGACTTGGATGCTGAGGACGTAGATAGCATCCACCTCATAAAGCCTTTTTTCCAAACATTGAAGAAATCTTCTCAAACTATAGCAGGTGCTATGACTGTGTTAGCTCTGGGGGGAGTCAAGGAGAAAAGACTGTTCTTAGAGGGAGAAAAACAAGGTGAGGACTGCAGGAAAGGCCATGCAGAGGGAGACGGACTGGTCAGGAAGGGAGACTTCTTGCATAGTGTTGAAAAGGAAATGCAGCTTTCTCCTTCTGCCGCTGCTTTCACATTGATTGCATCCAGGACTTTGGAGGGACAAGGTGACATCCACTATTTTCAAAATGAAGTATCGAGGCCTCCGGAGAGAATAAAGGAGAGCAGAAGGAAAAAAAAGAACCCTTCTGAACAATGCCAGGCCACAGAGTCCGGCCCGTGGCAGATCGAGGCTCCTGTTCCGCATCCTCATCTGCAGGGTTCTGTTGAGCTTGGAGCCAAGACAGGAGTTTCGGGGAGTGAAGTGTCATCTCCTACACCAGAACAATTCACAGAGGGCAAAAAACATGATCCAAAGATAGAATCCGACAGTGGTAATAGCATCAGTGTTGCTAGCAGCCTGTCTGACCACCTTGCTTCTCAAGTCTTAGGTGAAGTAGACAATTTCTCCTGGGACTTACAGAGCTCTTGTGAATCTGAACATCCCACAAAGCACCTGCCTTCTTCCCAAAGACCGTTTTTGGAAGCTTTAAATATACAAGCACAAAGCTCCCCAGACAATCAGTCAGCTAGTGAGTGCTATTCAGAGGACCAGAAGTTCTATCAACATGTCCTCCATATGGTGACGAAATCTAGGAGAACAGAATCAAGGGTACCCAAGTTTCTCAAGGGTCAGAAAGGCAGCAGCAAAGGGCCTAGTTCTGATCACACTGTAGAGTCTGATGTTGCTGGAGAAGGAAGTACAGAAACAGCAGTAGCAAAAGCAGCAGCTCTTGAAGAAGAGAGATTGAAGCCCTGTGAGGGTCAGGCATGCATCCTTCAAGACAATCAGGCAGGAGAACAGCTGGTGCACAATACAGCTCTGATGGAGGAAGCCTGCAGGGTTGGGCTTCCAAAAGACGGAGATGGAATTGAAGAGGTAGGCAGCTGGCATTTATAATCTGTCTTTTCTCTGAGAAGGCAGATTTCCCCCCACTATAAACTATTGTATTATCCCAATACTCTGAGGGCTGGTTAGGCCAAGAATGAGTAACTAGTCCAAGATTCAGTAAGCCGAGAATTATTGTCTGGATTTGAACTCCAGCTTCCTACCTTATTGACTGGCTACTGAATACTTAAAGGAACAGGGAAGAGAGAATAGGAATATCCTCTATTGGATAGCTTTAAGAAGGGAACTGTTTATATTATTAACTTGTTCAGAAATCATCTGGACTTAGAAGTGAGCAGTAAAGTTTTCAGTAACTCCAAAAGAACCCACTTAAGCTTGGGGAACAGCTATTAAAATGGTAAATTTCTTTTATCGTATGCAAGTACAAAGTGATGTCTGTTGGGAGAAAGCCCTATCCTGATTGCATACACAGTAAATAGCGAGCAACCAGAGAAAGGATCTCAGGATCCTTTTGGGGAGCTTGGTGAAAAGACTGATAGATTATGGCAGCTGAAAAAAGATTTCATGTAAAATGATTGAAATAAAACTTGCTACATTGTTTGTCCTTTACAATTTTATATGCTGTTATATTTGGTGGTGTGACTGCATGTGGAACTTTAAACTAACTTCAAAAAAGAGTAAAATTTGCAAAGGTGTAGATTACAATTAAAATACTGGACAAGATTGGAGAGATGGTCAAGATAAAAGCTATATATAGTGTGAATAAAGGTGGGAGAAGACTTGTTCCCTCTCTCGTAATATATAACACTATAATAGTCCTGCTGTATTGGATCAAAGTATTCCAACACTTAGTTTCTCACAATGCCCATTCAGATGTTCCCTTTTCCCTTCTTTGGTCCAGGCTTTTCAAGAGAGTCTTGTGTCCTGATTATGTGACATTGTGGCTTTCTCATCCAGTGCTCTTCACAGCTCCCTAAGAACAAATGGGAAGAGCTCTGTAGGACTAACGTGCTCTCTTGAACAATGGCAAGGGATGTGACTGCAGGTTATACTGGCTTTGTGACTCCTTTCGCATCTTAATCCACTGATAGCCCAGCAGCTATGGAAAAAATACTTCAAAATCCAAAAATGAGGAGGAAAAAGAAGAAGCTTGTATGCATTACTTGATATCTGATGTGACAGAAAAGAAAGAAGTCAGTGAGGTAATTTTTTTTTTCCATCAAACACATCTGAGATATCTCTGAAAGGGATGTGTTTTTGTTCATAATGTATCCCTGAAGGCTCTTTGAAAAAGACTTTCCCAGCATTGTCTCTGTGAGCCTGGGAAATCAGCTCCCAAATGGCAGGGGAGGGGTGATGTATTCCTGTAAAATAAACTGGGCAAGAGTGCATTTAATGCTACGGGGACCACTTTCTAGTCCATCCTAAATGTGTTTTATGTGGTTCAACAACTATAGTTATTGTGAAATGCAGTAGTTGCCTGGTTTTGTGGTAGCCCTTTGTAGACAAGGTAACAGAATCCTAAAATCATTGTGCTGCTTCCCAGAAGGTTTCCAAACCCAGTTCAAATTGCTCATCATTATCTTTAAAACTTAAATGGCGTAGCACCAGGAAGCACCAAGCAGCACCTTGACAGAACTGAATTGGCCCATCCAGGCAGGTCCTCAACACCCCAACCCACAGGAAAGTTTGAACCAAGTTAATGAGGGTGGTTAATAAAGTTAGAAGGAACACTGAGCAACTAATCTGTTCGAAAACCCATCCATCTTTTAAAATGCAGGTTGACCAGGCTGAGAGCAGTGTCTGTAACTTAAGGAGGAGGCATTTCCCTGAATGCGTTCCAATGGAGGAGAAAAGCCATTGGGTGGGGAGGCTTTCTCGGGGGTTCCTTTCGTCTAGGATTCTGTGCTCAATGCTGGTTCTTCAATTACTTGCTTTTTTATCCCAAACCAAGTTGTTACCTTGAAATTACATCTTTGAACTCAGGGCTCATTGGTTTCTGAAGAACTTATTCAAGAATGCAGTCCCAGAAATATCCCAGGCCACCTAGTCCCCATAATTTGTTTTCCTTTATGTTCTTCAACGACCTTGTGTTGGTTGTAGGTCATGGTCTCCAGGTAATGGTCTCCAGGATAACTTTCCTTTTCCACATGCTTTTCTTGTCTTCTGTGGCCTTTGGTTTCCAGAATCTTGTTCTAGAAAAAGTCCTGGATGTGGCTGAACTACCTCCAGTCCTGAACAGTCCAAAATTTGGTGTGAACAGAGCCACCATTGAAAGCACTTCGAAAGAGGAAGTAAGTTGTGTTTTTTTTAACCAGTTAGCAATGCATCCAAAAACAGCTTCTCTTACCTATGACCAGAAATTTACACAAGACCTTTTGATAAGAAACATCATCAAAGCCTTTTTCAAAGTCTGTGTATATGACATCACAGAGCTACTTCTGTTCGCATGTTTGTTGAACCTCAAAAATACTGGCTATTCGTTGAGGCAATATTTGCAGAGGAGTATAGAGAGAGCCTCGAAGGATGTGTGCAACAACGATTACAGAAACATCAGCTTTGCCTGGAAAGACAGGAGGGGCTGAGGAAAAAATTCAAGACTGCTCCACCTTGACTCTTTTGGGTATCGAGGGAGGGAAAAAGAAACTTGGTCAGACTTTCAAATTCTGATATTATATCCTCTAACAATAAAATAGAGTGCCAGGAACTCTGTAGTGCAAGTTTTCAGACCTGGCCTACCTCAAAGGACAGTCAGGACTTACCTTTGTGGCATCCATACAGATTTTCTTTCCACCAGGCTTCTTCATTATGCTTGTTTATTTCTGCCAGTTTCTCAAGAACAGACATTAAACTAATTTTCTGCATCTTCTTGGGTCCTTTCTTAAAAATCAATGCCACACTTGCTACCTTCTAGCGCTGCACCCAATTTGAGGGATTACATGTTTTTTCTAGGAAGTCAGCAAGTCCACAATTGAACTATTTTAAGATCTGTGGGGTAGATACCATGAGGACTCAATGATTTGTTATTTGTGATGTCTTCGAATAATCTAGAGTACCTTGTCATCTCAATTTGCTCAACAATTCTGGTTCTTCCCTGTGAAAATCAATCCAAGGCCTATCCATTCAATAGCAAAGAGAGACAGAAAGCCTAACTAGGTTTCTTACTAATCTCTGTATTTTCCTTAAGCATTCCTTTTGCTCCCTCGTTGTCTATGACCCAACTGCAGTTTCCTGTTTCAAATATATATTTAAAAGTTTAATGTTTTAACATTTCTTCTCATGTGCACTACTGAAATTCTTTTTGCATTCCATACACTTTTTATGCTCCATTCTGTTCTCCTCCTTAGGGCAAACATTTTTAAAGGGCCCCTTCAGAAGTTTTAAAACTTCCTGAACATGACTAAAGAGCCATGCCAACTCTTCTGGACTCAGCATTCTTGCTGAGTGTCAGTTATTGTACTTTTAAATATCCTCCAGTCCTTGTTGAGCGATTTGGTCCTCTTGACTTTTTCTTTCAATCTTTTCCATCAGTTCCCTTATTTTTCATTCTCTTTTGCAGTACAGTGTGAAGTATTGCACACTCCTTGCAATTTTTCACACACATAACGGTGTTATGATGACTATTTCCTGTTGGTTCCAAAGTACGTAAAATCTTGCATCGTATCGTGCTATCACAGTTAAATCTAGAAATCTCTTGTCCAGATTGGATCTGTGATATTCATCACCTTTTCACTGAAATATGTTGTTGTGGCAAAGCTTCTACCTTTCCTTTCTGTTGCAGGACAAAAACTGTTTGGTGCAGGAGAAAAACAAGGACAAAGGCAGCTTGGGAGAAGAGCAAAATAGTGGATCTGCTGTGGCAGAAGAGAGGTATAGAAGCCCAAATCCTTTGTGGAAAGCATGGCTGTTGCACATCCATCCCCCAAGACTTGGCTTTCTGCAGGGCTCTTGCTTCTTTTAATTCCACTCTGTCTCCACGTGTTTCCCACCCTCCTTCTGGCAGCACTGCCTGCGAGTGGTTGGGGATAATGGATTGTCACTCCCGCTGAGCGTGGGAAACACGCGGCCGCCATTTTGGCGGAGCACAAAGGGGCTAATTTAAATATTTGGACAGCGGCGATCAGCAGGCCTAGCGGCAGCTAAATTGGCACTAATCCAGCGCGGTGGCCATTTTTTCTACAACACAGTTGCAGCCTGACAAACTGATGAGACCCTCTGTTTAGTTCTGGGGAGGGCAATCCAGCCCAACAGGGCCATATTGCCTGAGAATTGATTCCCCCACCCCCCCACTGCCCTCCAGCTGGGCCTGGGGAGGGCAATCAGCCCGGCAGGGCCGCATTGCCTAAAAGTTTGCCCCCCCCACCCCTCCAGTAGCTGGAGGGAGGGGACCGGAGCCAGTTATTTGGCTGGTATTGAGAGTTACCAATTTTTCATAGGTTGGCATTATAGATTTAAAGGCCAACAACATCGTCTTGGGCTGCTGGAAGCCCCAAATGAAGATCAGCCTGTGACCAGGTCACTAAGAGTACACCGTCTCTGAAAATAACAGCAGCTTCTGCGCATTGATTTTCATGAATGCATTTAAGAGTAGAACAGAGACTGTAGCAATGCTGTGCATTTGATTTATTTACTGATTAATTCATCATTATGGTACTGACGCCTCTCACTAGTTTACAGTGAAAAACAAAAAAAATAATCTTAAAGCCAAAAATGTATTTATAAAATTCAAATAATTATTAACAGTTTGCTCAAAATAGGCGTTTTAAACATTTTTAAAAAATTCTAATAAAACAGGTAGGTTCCTTCAACTTAGAAAGGAGATCATATCAGGGACCAGGATAAACTGCTGAAAAGGCTTAATTCTTGAGTCCCTGCATAGCAAGGTGCTGTATCTGTAGGAAAAGCTTTTTTAAATGAACTCAATTAGTAGGATGAAATGTGACTCTAGAAAAAAAGTGGCATCTTGAGTGCCTTTTAGGGTCTTACAAGTGATAAATAGGTGATAACCAGTGTCTGGAATTTCTCCATGAGTAATATTTTTTTAGTATAAATGAAATACACCTTCTTTTGACTCTTTCCAGAGAGCAGTCGGTTGCCGAATTCTGCAGTAATTAAATTTTCTAGACTAGTTGCAAAAGCATTCCCGCAAATAACGATTTTGATGCTTCTAAGGTATACCTGTAAACTTTAAACAAGCCAGGAAAACAAAATAAACATATTAACAAAAAGCCATTTATATTATACCATGTTAGCCGCTTACCCCTATAGTGCTGATATCCAGAATCCAGATTATTAGGAAAATTAAAACTATACAAGATACATTGCATTTAAAGGTATTAAAACCATTCATAGAATGTGATACTGTTATCTGATCCTGATATTGTGGTAAACCATTATTTTGTAAAGAGAGTGTTCCAAGTACTCCTCTCCTTTTCTGAAAGTACATATAAAACTAAGCATCTAGGGAGGTAAATTCCCTTCTTCGACTCTGTCTTAAGGATTTAGAAAAGAAAAGCTATTTTACACAGCTGCTACCTTAATGGGAAAAGTTACAGCCAAGTATGTTATATTGAGCTGAATAATTGATTAAAGGCTTTCTGAGCCCTTGCCATATTTTGATTCTCTGGGTCTCCTGTTTGAGAAGCTGCAGATGTAAAGAAGTGACATTAATGCAAGTAATAAAAGCATAAGGTTAAAGCACATTAGATTAAAACGATTGTTCAGGCATCTTGGTGTGATCTGGAAGCAACCCGAGGATATCAGAATTGAATGAATTGGTATTTGTGTTGCTGGGTGGTAAAGAATTGTCCTAAGTAGGCTTCCATTTGCTAGTGGGTCCTTTTTCTGCATCAGGTCTTTTTAGGCTTCTGTATTCTACCCTGATCCATTTCAAGTAATAATTAATGTGAACTTGGTTCTCTTAATAGGCAGTTTGAGACTGAAATAAAGCCATGGAATATCCATACTGGGGGGGCACTGGAGGAAATAACCAAAGTGGAAGAAATGAACATGTATTTGCTGGAAGAAAAACAGACACATGTTCAGAATTTGCAGGAAGAACTGCAACTGCGAGAAGGAGAGGAGATCCAGATATTACATCAGCAGAAAGAGTCTGCCCTCCGGTGAGTGTCTTTGCACCTATACAATAGATACTTGGCTTTCCTTCCTGTCTTCTCCCCCCACCCCCAGCCAATAAATGCCAGTAGTTCTCATCTTTGGTCACTTAGATTAAGGGTGCAAGTACGAAGTCTTGGTGTTTTAAGATTCTTTACTGTAAGGAGACAAGGAGTATTTGTTGCAACCCTGAGATCCAAAATCCCAAGAGAAAATATGAAAGAAGCTACTTAATTAGAAACTTTTAGGAAAAGCTCATCCATTAAAAGAATAATTGACTGTCTTTATGTAACTTTGTCTGTTCAATACAAAGATATTTGACACATCCACTGGGCTTCTCATAACTTGTGGATTGGATTGATTTGATTTGTGTTCTGTGTAGGACTCTGGTGTATATCAGCATTCAACTCTTGCGTTGCCTGATATTTTGGTTGTTCTTCTCCTTCCATTTTTTTCTATTCCTGCATTGTGATTGTATGCATCTTTTCTCTCTTAACCAGAATAGCTTATAACATAGTAAGTTTCGAACATGAAAGAATAACATAAGTTATTCCCATGAAAGCAGCCTGAGAGATGCAGTAGAGCTACAGTGAAGTCACTAAGTGATCTCTGTGGACGTGTGAAGACTGAACCTCCTTCTACTGGGTTTCTATCTAATACTTTCAGTGTTATACTACATTGATTCTCAGTCACCAATGATTAAAATACAGAGTGCCAGGACTGGAAAGGATTTGGTAGAACATCTGATCCAACCCTCTGCATAGGTCAGAAATTCATTACTTCAGCCTCCTTGACAGATTGCCATGTATCCTTTGTTTAAAGGCTTCCAGAGAAGATTCTGCTGTGGAGGTTCTGAGGTTTTGCTTGATAAAAAAATACAGGAAACCAGAAGTTGCCTTTAAGCTATACGTTTTATTCTGCTGAACAAAGATGGGCTTCTCTAAAAGAGAGAAGCCCCGAATGACAAGAAATCCTTGTATTTATTCTTTCTGATTATATAAGCAACCCACCCAACAAAGCTGACACACATAAGATAAAGATTTCATCCAGTAAGTCTGGCACACTGTAGATAAGAAGGGAGGAAGCAGAAATAACTAAAAATGTTCCCTTTTGGGTGTTTCCCTAAAGACATCGTATGTTCCCCGGTGAGTTAGGACATCGGGTGTTTTCCTTGCTGTCCTTTCATGACCCTGCGTCCATGACTCTGCAAGTGCCCAAAGACAGCAGGGCCATCTGCTCATATTCACAATTGATACTTCCTATGCTGTCTCCTAATTCCGGGTCAACAATTCCACCTCTTCCCAAGACTGTCTGTTTGCTCCATTTTCTCTCCCATTTTTCTGATGTTCAACCAAACCTTGTTCCCATTGTTTTTCATTCCATCTTTTGGAACTTTGAAAAATTCTGCCTGTCTTCTACATCAGCTCTTCACAGTTTTCTCTTCTCCATGGTAAGCATCCAGCATCTCTATTCCTCAAACTTTTTTTCTTTCCCAGTTCTTTATCATTTGGGTTGCATATCTCTCAATTCATTCCAATAGATCATATCTCAGAGTCCTCCTTAAAACATGCTGGCTAAAACTAGACTCATATTCTAGGTGCAGTCTGATCAATGTATAGTCACTGCCCTGTGGTCAGTCAATGACCACACAGGCCAGGCATACTGAAGGAAACAGTCTCTAAGATAACTGGAATCAGGCCCTCTAAGGATTTATAGACTAAAACTAGCATTTTGAATTGCATTCCAAAACTGATTGGTAACTAGTGCAGCATCAGCAAGACTAATGTTATTAAAGGAGTCCCCCCCCCTGCTAGCAGCCTCCTGCATTTTAGACCAACTGTAGTTTCTGAGTAGTCTTCAAAGCATATTGTAGTCATCCAACCTTAAAGTGATGAAACTACGTGTTGCTGTTTCTCTCAAAGATGGCCCACAACTAGTGCATCACCTGCAGCTGGGCAAAAGCTCCCCAACTATGGAGTTCAGCTGCTGGTCAAGAGAGAACTGTAAGTCTAGGAGACTGCTTAAGCAGTCAACTTGCTCCTTCAGGGGCATGCAATCCCATGCTGATACTAACTCAGAATAATCAGGAAGCTAGATAACTTCTGAATGAGCACTAGCATTTTTTGTTGGGATTCAATTGTTTTATCCTATCCAATCTATCACATCTTCCAGGTGCCAGGTGAAGATGTCTACAGCATCTCTCATTACAGTTGGTTTTCATTAGCATATTGTTGATAGTTCACTTAAACTAACAAAATCTCGCCACATTTTTAAATGTAAAACTACACAGCTGGCTCCAATGTCTTGAGATGGGAAAGTGTAGAGAGTTTTTGACTAAAAAACATAGGCATGAGAAAGAGTGCAGGGATTCACCAAGCTGTTGGATGGGGAAGACATCTCAACCAATCCATTGTCTGATTAGTTTAGCAATAACTGTAAACAGAAAAGGGGGAAGGATGAGAAGACAGCAAGAAGATGAAAGTTCAAAGTGGTTTCTGGGACAAGGATGTGGAAGGAAAACTAAGAAATGTTGAGTCAGAATAACTTGGCATACCTTTTGTTGGGAGTGAACTTGCATATTACTAGGAGAAACATGACTTCTGTATCAAAAAGCATCCAGAAAAGTCTAAGTGCCACTTAGAACAGATTGGGATTGACTTCAGGAGCAGCAGCATATTAAAACTATGGCCGACTTTTTCTTGTGCTGTTTTTATTGCTTCTTGACATGGTTGAATGACTAATCAATAAACAAATTGAATTAGAAGGGAAAGGACAGATGAGATTAGAAGGTTCCTCAGAGACTTTGGGTTGTAAAGATTAGAATATCACATGCAAAAATGTCACAACTTACTTTGCACGGTTGATTCTACATTCTGTTTTCAAGGAATGTTGCCAGGGCTGACCCCAAAATACATGCAAGATGGACTTTTAAAATCTTTCTCTAGAGCCATATTGACTTTACTCATTCACATCTTCCTTGCTTAGAACACATGCTGTCGGCTTTTGCTGTAAATTGCTGAAGGTTTCTACAGACTTTAGTGGTGGTGTTCTTTTTGTTTTTAGGAGCTAGTTTCACACCTCAAATTACTATCTGCTTATCTGTTAGGTCACTGAAAACTGAGTTGGAGACAACTAGGGAGGAAGAAGAGACACGGTTGAGGGAAGAGGTCAGAGTGGAACTTCTAAAACATCAAATTGAGATGCGTTCTGAGTTGAATGCAGAGAAGGAGAAGATCAGGTACCAGATTGCATTTAAGTCTGCTTATTGTCCTCTTCTGGGGAAGATGCGATGAAGGTTGTAGGACTGGAGTTAGCCTTGTGTCCAGATTAGCACTGCCCGATATGTGCATTCTCCCTAGTTTTGAATGTTTGTGGATGGGAAGTTGACTGCCTCTTGGGTGAGGCTGCTTTTTATGTCAGAGAAGAGCATTTGGACATGGGTAAGATAGGATTGATTTTACAGTTTCATCTCACTTAAGCAGCAAAATTCAATAATTATGTATTTATTTTTTTAAATTATACATACGGACACCCACTTCATGGCTTTATACTCTTTATACACTTAGTACTTTATAAAAGGTGTCAGAACCCCAGACAGGTGCTGCAACAAAGAAGGCAAGACTCCAGGCCCAGCAAGATCAGACTCTTTAACAAAAGGGACCCAAAGCAGCTCTCTCTGCTAGATCGTGCCGTTGCGGCCTCTGACCCGACGCAGATCTCAACAAGCCCCTTGGTTTACCGAGGAGCTGAGAGAGATGAAGCGCCGGAAAAGACGCCTACAGAGCAGTTGGAGGGCTACCCGAACCGAATCCGATCGAACACAGGTAAGGATGCATGTTAGATCCTACCTTGTGGCAATGAGGGTGGTGAGGTCCAATTACTACTCCACCCTCATTGCGTCATCAGATAATCGCCCGGCCTCCCTCTTCAGGGTGACCCGCTCTCTCCTTCAATTGAGGGGGGGGACCCCCTGGTGGGGAGGGCTGAGGATTTTGCTCAATATCTGCATGACAAAGTCGCTCGGATCCGAGAGGGTTTGGACTCCGATTGGGTGGCCCCGGGGGAGG